CCCAATCTGTACCAGTGTTTTCCCCAGTCTGTACCAGTGTTTACCTCTGTCTGTACCAGTGTTTACCCCAGTCTGTACCAGTGTTTTCTCCATTCTATACCAGTGTTTTCATCAGTCTGTACCAGTGTTTACCTCAGTCTGTACCAGTGTTTTCCCCAAACTGTACCAGTGTTTACCCCACCCTGTACCAGTGTTTTCCCCAATCTGTACCAGTGTTTTGCCCAATCTGTACCAGTGTTTTCCCCAGTCTGTACCAGTGTTTTCTCCATTCTATACCAGTGTTTTCATCAGTCTGTACCAGTGTCTACCCCAGTCTGTATCAGTGTTTTCCCCAGTCTGTATCAGTGTTTTCCCCAGTCTGTATCAGTGTTTTCCCCACTAGTCTGTACCAGTGTTTACCCCAGTCTGTACCAGTGTTTACCCCAGTCTGTATCTGTGTTTTTCCCAGTCTGTACCAGTGTTTTCTCCAATCTGTACCAGTGGTTTCATCAGTCTGTACCAGTGTTTACCCCAATCTGTACCAGTGTTTACCCCAATCTGTACCAGTGTTTACCCCAATCTGTACCAGTGTTTACCCCAGTCTGTATCAGTGTTTTCCCCAGTCTGTATCAGTGTTTTCCCCACTAGTCTGTACCAGTGTTTACCCCAGTCTGTACCAGTGTTTACCCCAGTCTGTATCAGTGTTTTCCCCAGTCTGTATCAGTGTTTTCCCCACTAGTCTGTACCAGTGTTTACCCCAGTCTGTACCAGTGTTTTCCCAAATCTGTACCAGTGTTTTCCCCAATCTGTACCAGTGTTTACCCCAGTCTGTATCAGTGTTTTCCCCAGTCTGTATCAGTGTTTTCCCCACTAGTCTGTACCAGTGTTTACCCCAGTCTGTACCAGTGTTTTCCCCAATCTGTACCAGTGTTTTCTCCAATCTGTACCAGTGTTTTCATCAGTCTACCAGTGTTTACCCCAGTCTGTATCAGGGTTTTCCCCAGTCTGTTTCAGTTTTTCCCCAGTCTGTACCAGTGTTTTCTCCAATCTGTACCAGTGTTTTCATCAGTCTGTACCAGTGTTTACCCCAGTCTGTATCAGTGTTTTCCCCAGTCTGTATCAGTGTTTTCCCCAGTCTGTTCCCGTGTTTTCCTGATAATGTTTCCTTGTTACCCCAGACTGTTTCAGTGTTTTCCCAGACTGTTTTCTAGTGTTCCCAACTGGCTGTATCAGTGTTTTCTACAGCAGGTCATTTCTCCTTGGCAGTTCCAGTATTATGCCTGTACCAGTCATGTGTTTGTTTGAAATTGAACTGTAATTACCCATTGCATTGTTGTTTCCAGGTTACCAAAATGCAAGGAGACAGTGCTATTCACAAACAGACTACACATATTTGTTGGAAAGTTTATCTGATGGTAAGTTTTCCATTAAATTCTAATCAGGACATTGAATTGAAAGTGAGAATTAAAAGGAAGATCAGTGTATAATATTTCATGATATTGGAAAACCTATGTTATGTCAGAATCCACTGTATTTACTGAACAAAATGCATTTTTTAATTTCTTTTCAAAGCAGTTCTTCAAAAGAAATGTATCCATTATAATTTCAGCTTTTCAGTATTTACTCATTTTTAAGTAAATTTCACTGTATTATTACTACAGTCAAGAAATACAATTTTCAGATAGTTGAATAGCATGAAACGGTTTCACTGTTTACAGGAATAGACAAGGTGGAGAGCTACAGTGGCTGTAAGCAATTTGTGACCCAGTACGGTCGCACTGTCAACTATTGTTTCTGTCAGGAAGACAAATGCAACAGCAGTACCACACTACTATACAACTGGACGTTCCTGTTACTCTGTGTCATAGCTACAGCTGTATGGCCTTCATTGCTTTAACACTGGTACCACCCTCTGGTACAACTGCACTGGTTCCTGTTACTCAATGTTATAGGGAATATACCGTTTACCAGGACATTTTCGCCCAGTAAAATTCATATTCACCTAGTTTTAATTTTACTTACAAGAAAATTGTATATGGTATTCAATGGGAACACCATTAAATCTTCTTTTTATTACATTTTTTAAAAGTAACAGGGCGCAAATAGTGCTGCATTAGAAAAGTGCAGGAACCGGTAGCATACTTTTAAAGGACAGCAAGGCAGAGTGTCTTTACATGATAAACATAAAAATCTGAAATTGACTGTTATTCAAAGTTACATTCTTAACGTGTGATACAGTGTGAGACAATAGAAGTATGTGGAAGAAAGAAATAGTAAGATAGAAAAAAGGTGAGAAAGAAAAATTAGTAATGAATGATGGAGATAAAATCCAACAGAATAGAAAATGTAAGAAATAGGTAAGTGAGAATGATTAGGAAAGGGATCTGACTGGTGTCCAATGTGAAAGTGTTATTTTTATATAAGTTTAAATTTAATTATAAAATATTCATGTTTCTAATTGAATTAAAGTATTGTTGTAGCAACATAAATATGTTTCATTTGTAATCTCCATCCATCATTTGTCATTCATTTCATTTCTACAAATTTTATTGACAAAATTATTTAAGTCAACAGGCAAGCCTGTATCTCTTATCAAATACAAACTGAGATTAATTGATTTTAAGATACTTCAAAATGAAAATTACAAAATACATTGCAAGGAAGAGAGAGTTGACTGTCACTTATAAATTCAATGAAACTGGACTCATACAACAGTTTTATTTCGTTGTTTTTATAATCCAAAGTCTTTATCGGGGAATAAGATCGTAAACATTGACAAAAAGTCCAAGTGCAACGTTTTTCTCAGATAATAATTAGCCAATACCGTTGATCAAGAAAGATTTATTCAGTGTGATAGAAAATGAATATATATACAAATTATTTCATACCTCACTTTTTAATTCATCCATCCATCTACTGTAGAAGTGGAAATTGTCGCGATGTGGAAATGTTGGTGTTTGGTTTTAATTTAAAAAAAAGATAAATTAGCTTGGAAATAGCCTTACGCGAAAATATATCTATGTATTATACTTAACGAATTCACGCAATCTCATTGGACGAAACTTATACAAGTGACCCATTCTCAAAAAATCCAGTCTTCCGATGAATATCAATTTCTAAATATAGCCACGGACTTAGATAGCTAATCTAATTCCGTGATATAGCCTTTAATCCGTATACTTCCACCATTATTATTTTATGTTTGGCAATCAAAAATACATTGTATGGATCAACATGATTGTTTTCTTAGCCGAGGTGTGTATAATTTGAAAGCTACATAAAACATGGTTAATTACATAATAGGAAGTTTTTAGAACCATAGACAGCGCCAAAACAAATCGACATTAATCAGTTATTAACAGTTACAACGCGGACATTTCCACACTTTAGAGTTTCCACTTTCACACTTTCACTCATTCATCAATTTACAAAAAAATCATTAGATGATATTTTTCCAGAAACGCACTAACTATATATGATTGGTTAACCAATGTACATGTAGATAAAATTTTGATATGTGCCATTTTTTATTGAATTTAAAATAAAGAGACATTTGTTCAAAGCTTGAGGTATTCATATATTTTACAGTACAATGCGCTTGTGACATTGTTGATCATTCTGTCCGATGAAAGGATGATAAAAAACAAACATAAATCTCTCTCTATCGATCAGTATTCTTTATAGGTAAACTATTTTTTATTTTACAACAGTTATGAAACAAAGTTTATCATTCTTGTTATCCCGGTTGTGAGCGCGCAGGGTTTTAATGTGGGAGCTAGGAAAACCGACGAATCCGCAGTAAACCCATGTGGTCGGGCAGCTGACCCAATACCTTCACACGTCCGATAGGGGTATCGAACACCGGGCTTTTGCTGAAAGGAAAGTGTTCATCAACTGCACCACCTGGACACACTTACTGTACAGGGTACATGTTTTCCCAGCTTCTTCTAGATATCTGTTAGTTTAGTTTAAACATAGGCCAAAATTAGACAAGGGATTAGGCACAAGTTATAACAACTTATCAACGCCTTCTCCCAATATACATTTGAAATGACATTACAATAATGACAATAAATATATACAATTGTTATGATAATTTGAACTCAAAATCTCTTGCTGGATTTAATAAAGTTTTGCACTGATCTAAAAATGTTTGAGTTAAGGTCCACGGTAAATTGTGAATTGCCAAACAAAAGAATTTCTAGATTTAACTCAACATTCAAATTAATCAAATTTTGAACCAATAGTGAAAGACATTTTCACAAGGATGACCACAATTACAAGATGTACTCTCAACAAGGTTAACTCTACAAAGGTCATAATTAAGGGAACTGCACTGGTGTCGGAGCTTAGTATGCAAGATATTAAGTTTACGATTTCCGATTTTAAAGTAAATAGGTGGACTTGACTGACTATTTGATGTTAAACAGGATTTGAATGAATTAATAGAGGGTAGGGATCGAACCGAATTGTCTAAGTTATTCCAATAGTGAAGAGTAGAAGGTAGAAAAGAAGAATTAGTAAGAGATAATCTGAAAGGAGGAATCCTATAGTTATTATTGTTACGTAAAGCGTAACGATTATTTTCTCTAGATAAAGGCGGCAAAAGATGTTTGAAGTAATCAGGAGTTAATTTATTATGCATCTTATACAATAGTTGAAGTGTCCTCCGTTTTCTGCGATTAGATAAAGTTTCAAGACTAGTTTCGTAATATAAAGTATTAATAGGAGTATATGAAGGAAGTCGTAATATAATGCGAGCAGCTTCACGCTGGGCATTTTCTAACTTTTCATATTCAAAAACAGTGCAACCGTCCCACAACTCACAAGCATATTCTAAAACAGGTAAAATAAAAGTCTTGTAAATTATTAAAAGAGCATCCCTACTTAATAAGAGTTTCAGTTTCCGAAAGACATTAATTTTCTTCATAACAGAAGTGTAAATTCCATATACATGATCCCCCCACTTTGCATTCGAATTAAAAGTTACCCCTAAATGTTTATGACAATCTGTAAATTTAAGACTTTCCCATCAAATTCTAAATCTAAGTCTTCTTCGATATCGATTGAATTCGAAATAAATAATACATCTGTTTTTTCAGGATTGAAATTAACCAGCCAGGTTTTTGACCACGTATTTAAGAAATCTAGGTCTCTATTTAAAGTTTCTTGAATTTCTAAACAAGATGAAGATGACTTAAGTAATGATGTATCGTCTGCAAAAAGACGAGACGTTGATTCAAAAATATCTGCTATGTCATTAATAAATATAAGAAATAAAAGTGGGCCAAGAATAGAGCCTTGCGGAACCCCTGCCTCAATTAGACCTACAGAAGAATGTGAACTGTTTAAAAATACCTTTTGGTGTCTCTGAGCAACACACGTATGTTTTTTTTTAAGCAATTCACTTGAAATTCCGTACGATTTTAATTTCACTACAAGATCTCTATGCCAAACCCTATCAAAAGCTTTGGATATGTCACAGAATACAACACACGTATGTTTTTTTTTCTTCGAGTGCAATACAAATTTGGTGATATATATCAATGAGTTGATACACTGTAGAATGACCATGCATAAAACTAGACTGATATTTGTAAAACAAAGAATTTTCTATAAAGTAGTTGTACAAATGTTTAAAAATCACTCTTTCAAAAACTTTACCAACAGTGGACAGCAAGGAAATTGGTCTATAATTCGAAGGAGAATGTCTGTCACCCTTTTTAAACAATGACATGATAATAGCGAATTTCCATTTATTTGGATAAATCCCTGTTGATAAAGACATATTAAAATATTATTTCGAGCGGAGTACAAACAGTGCGAGCAGTATTTCTTAGCATATGGTGGCTGATTCCATCCCCACCCGAGGCCTTGCCGAGCTTCAATATCTGTAGAACATCGCGTATTTCAGTTGAATGTAATCTAATTGAACTAATAATTTTGTCAGTTTTTGGCTCAATAATCGGGACATCCGTGTACTGTCATCTACTCTAGTAATACTACAAAAATAGTTATTTAGTAATTCAGCTTTATCTTCATCTCTAGTAACTATGTCATTAGTAATAGGATCGACTAAGGAAGGTATAGGTTGTGAAGTATCAGAAGTTGTAATTAACCTTTTAATTATTTTCAAATAAGATTTGGATCAAAAGATGAGTACCCATCAATAATATCATAAACATTTTCATAAAAAATGACGCGTGCATGCTTTTTCATATTACTTACTTTCTTTCGCTGTGATTTGATATCTGTTAAAACAAACCGTTTAGAAAAACAGTAAAGACATCTGTCGAAAACAAAGTATTTGCAAATATCAAGGAAAACATCAGTCTTATAACCTGACAAAAAAATGAATAGTTCGGACGATTAAAACCAAGAGATAAACTTAAACCTTGAGAACTGTTGATAATACCCTATTAGCCTAAATTTTACATGTTGTGTATATGTTATTAAAACATACCAGCATTTCATTTTACAATGGACAACATGGATACCAGTTTGAACCAGTTTTAATAAAAAAAAAATGTATTTCAAAGAGAACCAGCAAATATCTGTCGCGGAAGAGTAATCTTTAAAATCATCCTCTAGCCAGCGGAGAAAATGGGAGAAAGTACGTTGCAGCGATAAAGCCTACTTTGTGAAACAACTTTTATCAGGAAACAAATTGTTTTCATGTATATCACATCAAGATCGTTTACATGTATCTCACATCAAGATCTCTGAAGTATCAAAAATCCAACAAGCCTTGTTGTGACTACAATGTATAAAGATAAAGGAACAGACACAAAAAGTTTCTGAGAAATCCCCGAGTACTTTCATGTTGACAGGACAACACAACACAGAAAGTGATGACGTCATGATACATTCCGAGGTCTCCATACAACCTACCAAAATGACGCCAAATGGACAAAAATACACTTGGACGTCAACTCGTCAACGGTTGTGGTACAAAAACTTGATGTTCAGTTACAGACAGGATAATAGCAACATACTATTTAAACAAGGTTTTGATATATCGATTAACATTGACGCTTTTTACTCTCTTTGTACCGTATCTGCTGTCGCTTGATATATATAGGAATCACATGAAATGTATCATTTGCACAGGAATGTATATATTTATTTGCGGTTAAAATCCCCAGATGGTCATTTGTTGCCTCTTGTCTGTGAAGTGAAATACGTCGACGCAATTTAGAACCAGTTTGTCCAATGTAGTATTCAGAATTTAGCAAAGACCATTGCATAAACAACATTCCGAGATCGACAATTCAAATAAGTGTTCACTTTAATTAGTATCTATTTTTGAATGTCAATTCTTCTTCAACAATAATACTACAAACATCAAAATGGATAGAAAAAGTTAAGTAGAAGCAATCCCCCTTGGCTGTCAAGTGCTGTTGTTGTCGTCTGTTTAAACATTTCACCAGTGTTATTAGTGTTGATTATGAGGTATACTAGCTTCTTTAACCGCCTAATTAATAGACGTTCATCGAGCACTTTCTAATTTATGGTGAAACCTTTATTTGATTGCCTCACGCATGGGGTGTTATGTGGCCCCTTCTCCCTCAGCATGCGTATCATGTGATCGCCAGCATTATTTCGCTCCTCAGGTTAAATCCTCTTAATCTTACTGTTGTGTAAATACGTAAATGAAGAACAGGAACGATTGATCCTATCTAATTACGTGGATTGTGATTTGATATTAGTATATTTACATGACATGACTTTGACGTAGAAAGTTTAGCTTCTCTGTTATCAAAAATAGGATATCTCAGATAGTACATATCGTAATGTAATATGTGTCTTTTGACAGCTTTTGATCGAGCACATGTTTTTAATACTTTGTATTATCACTTGATCTAATTACAGGGAGTGTCACTGTAACGCTTATGAAACAGTTCTATCTCGGTTACAAATCAGCTCTCATAACAATTTTGCTATTGTGCCCGCTTTTGTTACCTACTCCGCTTCAAATTCAGCAGACATTGTTGCAACCGCGCAAAGGTTAACAAAATCATTTACATTTTATTGAGTGTAATTACCAAATTTTATTGAGTGTAATTACCAAACAAAACTTCAAGTTAGCAATAATTTTGCTAACCCCTTGTATGCCAAATAAAATAGAATCTCAAACCAAGGGGTAAGATTCTCAAAGGTTCTGCCCGATGCACTGCAGAAGTATTCCTAAGAATCTTACTTTTATTTCGGATATTTTTTCTTTCATCCTCAAAACCGGAAATAATTAAGTTTCGACTATCTGTAAATAGAAATACTTCCATTGTAAATTGTGTAACCATAAAATAATGTTATCAGATTGTAAAACGTGACGTCATTTTATTATTAAGATTTTGACGTCTCAATCGCATGTAGCCTGAAGCTAATAACGATACACGTGAAGTGTGAGAGAAATTTATATCAAATGCGGCAATGGAAACAACTTTAATGCTCATGCAATTTATCAGAAATATCGTCTGTTACACTGCACTGATCAACAGGGGTTCGTTACAAATGTCTGAAATACACATATTCAATGGACCTACTGACACATATGTTACAAAC